ATTGAAACTGCACGTTCCTTAATGTTGAATACTAATGTTCCTGTACATCATTGACCCTAGGTATCAATTACACCCCCTGAAACAGTAAAGTAAGGTCAGATATAGGCTCAGGAGAGTGAGGCGAGCGGAACCCTAGATGCGCGGTGAAATTCCGACCAGCGTAGGGCGGCGCGTGAACAGTACGCGCGCGAGATCTGGCGGGCTGCGGCGGCGCGTGACGGCGTGTGAGGGCGATGCAGGGACGGCGACCACCAGGGTTGGGTCGCGCTCACGGAGGCGCACAAAACCCCTAAATTTTCCTGAGAAAATGAGGTACCGGCGGCGGCGGCGACGACAACGGCAGCGACGACGGCTGGTGGTTGATGGCGTCTACAGAAGAGAGCCTCGGTGCTTGGCTCTTGATACCATCTTGGAGAATTTAGAGAAAGAAACTCTCTTTCTTATTATTATCTTCACACTAAACACATACTTATACAATAATGAAAAACAGTAATCAACAATAAACAGTAAATAGTAGGCTCCTACAGAGCCTATATCTAAAAACATATTACATTTCAACACTTCTATTATAAATAAAGGATCCTATGTGTATATTCAATACAAGGAGATTAATCTCATATATAGTTTTCACTATATTCAACTAAGAGAATGAGGGTTAAGTGCAAATACAAATGAATATGTAAAAAATAACATAATTAACATAGAGACATGTTTTCCTAATTAACATAAAACGCGATATATCTAACTGGGACTAACAAAAGTATTATAATTTATAAGATACAATACATGTATAATTGGACACTCTGGAGAGTTCTAAGACACTCCTCTAAGATATGATCATGATTTTATTAGACATTTTCCTATATTCTAGTAAGTTTCATATATTAAAGGGAAAATTTTCAGCATATGTAGCAATGTTTAACTATAAGCGAATTGAATGAAAAGGAAATAGAACAACCTCGTCCAGATAAATATGACCAACAAGTCCAGCATCGGTTTCAGAATTTCCCTTTCGCATCCGCTGTTCTTGGTATCTGCATACAAGTAACAGGACCCCAAACTAAACTCATTTTCTCAATAATATAAAATAGGCTTAAATAAGTTTTTAATCTCTGTAAAATTGTAAGAAATGTTTAGTCCTTATAAAATGTTTGAATTTAGGTTTTAGTTCCTGTAAAATACTTTTCTATGATGTTCATCCCTCAAAAATTTAAAATCACTATTATTAGTCCATAATATTCATTTTAAGATTGATAAATAACTTGTTTTATGGATATTAAGAGTTCTTTTAGATGTCAAATGCTCACATTGTATCACAATACTATTCTGCATCACTCAGGTGGTCACTTGCCTTTTGTTCAACAGTTAACTAGTGTCATAAAATACTAGGGGATCGAAAAGCATTGATTTTCAATCCCATAGAGACCAAAATCAGAGAAAAGAAAAACTTTCGGGGAACAAAGTGAAAACTCACTCATTTTGCAACGACTAAGAACATATTTAAGCCTATAAAATATTAAAACTCCCTCAAATGATGAACAGTAGATAAATATAAACCGTATACTTGAAATTCTTTTTAACTAAAGCATGTGCAGACTAAAATTAAAAGGTACAATATTATAAGAGAAACTTACTCAATAATAAACTCCACTGATGCATCCTTAAGATTGACTTTTCTCAATTGATCTTTAACTTTATATGCCGCATTTTCACGACAATAACTCCCTCCACAATCACAGTCGTTCAGGTACAAAATAACACGCCGATCAACAGGTTCATTCTTAAAATTGACCTTGCATTGTAGTATTTCCTGAAGAAAAAATGCATCAATAAAAATTTCAGGGAATATCATTTATTGAGATATTAAAACTTAAACACAGATTATCTTCATTCACTACGAGGAAATGTTCACCTTCATCAACTCCCATGAGGAATTGCTACTGGGACTAGCATCAAGGACAGCTTTGTAAGCAGGATTTGACATAGCAGTTGCTGCTAAGACGCCTACAGGCTCACCAGCAGGGAATAGGTGCTCAGTTTTCTCTAATCCATATTCAAACTGGATAATGGAATTACTGCAAATATTTCTAACAGTTCCATCATAACAGATAACAACATCCCGAAGAATGGCCATCAAATTCTTGAAGAGTGTTCCTGGTTCAGATAATCCCCTTGAAGAACGCACCATTATTTCCCTTGTTGAAATTGAATGCACCATCTCTTCATATGGATCCAAACCATTGAAAAAAGACCCTTTGAGCAACCCATACTCAGCAGAGGGATAACCATCCCCATCATAACAACACTTCACGTGAAAATGAGATGTTACATCTTCCACCAATCCTTTTGAATAGAATTTTCCCCTATCAAAAAGTTGCTGCCCTAAGAAACCAATCTGCTGAACAACCTTATCAATTGCAGATTTACTCTTTGAATCAATTAAATCTCCTAGTTTGGTTGACTTTAGAGCAAAATTAATAACAGGAAGTTCAATATCACGAATAAGCTTCTCCAATTGTTGCGCCACCAGCTCGTTGTAAACAGACCTCAGCTGATACAAGAGAGAAGAAAGTTTTCCTATGCTTCTGCTTATAATTCTTTTAATTGCCCTGGATATGGAAAAATCTTGCAGGCTAACACTAAACCCATCAGCAAATATACTTTCCATCAAAAAAGGCTGCAACACATCAAAGAACTTTAGTGCCTCCTTTGGACCCTTGCTAAAGAAAATTGAGGCTGCTATTTCATTTACTGTTGCAGGCAAAACATCCCTATTAAAATCGAATTCTAAGATTTCACTCTGCCTAATCAAATACCGTCCCCCAGAGCAATCAAAACACAAAGGGAGAGCACACTGTAACATTTGGATGGAAGTCCAATAAGAATTACCAGAATTGGCCTTCATCAAACCAGCTTGAGGCAAAGGTACAAGAAACATAGCCAATTGATTAGCTGCCACTCTATCAAAAAAACATCTCTTGACCAACATCTTCAGTGACAACAACGAATCTGTGGTTAACTGTAAATTCAAATTGCCACTGTGAGAGCTGAGCAGTTGATTCTCGACAGAAAATAACTCCACAACTTCTGCTTTGGCAGCTAGTGACTGTGGATAAAACAGATGGACACAATCACCATCAAAATCAGCCCCAAGTGGTCCACAAATTAAAGGATTTATTTTCACAGTGTGGTCATCATGGATGTAAACAAAAAGTGCCTGTAAAGAGTGTTTGTGTGTTGTAGGTGGCCTGTTAATGAAGACGATATCCCCATCCATAATCCTCCGCTGTACTATCTGACCAGGCTTCAAATGTATGTGACCCTTTGAGCCATCCCTGAGTGAAAAAGTTGACATACCCTCCTTGTAAGTAAGGCACAGATTTTCATCAACTAATTTCTGCAAATAACCTATGTTATGGATGTTAACTCTCTCCTCAAATGTTACTCGTTGGGCAACTTCAACCGGAATCCCTACTTCATTTATCCTTCTATAACAATCTCCAGTTATCACATTCCGGGAGGAAAAACCTGAACCTTTTCTTATAAATAAAGTCCGCATTTTCTCTAGCCATGCTTTCGTTGATGATTCATTAAGCTCTTTATTAACCCCAAAACGTGTTTCAATAGCACGTGCTGCCTTAGAAGTGCCCCTAATTTGAAAATACTGATCAACAACTGACTGCAAATCATTTGCTTCCACGTGATGAGACTCAAAATTTGGTTCTCCAGATCTAGAACTTTTGATGATTTCAACCTTCCTGAGCAATTTTCTGAGAATTGTAATGGAAGGATCCTACAAAGCAACAAAGGCATCAGTGACACATGCACTTTAATGAAGAAAAAATCGAGCTGACAAACAAAGATATGAATACCCAGGTTAGAAAATCAAAGCAAGATCCAAAAGATATAGGCAACCTAATTCATAATGAACTCTGAATGGATTTTTCATATTCATACATGTAATCATAGTTCAGAATTTTAGATTAGAGCAATTATCAAGTCTGGTTTAAAAACCTAAGGCAGTTTATCTCCTCTGGCAAATTAGGATAACAAAATTAACTATTACAGAAAATAGAATTGAGCATACTAAAAAACATTACTAGGGCGACATTTACTGACAATAGTATGTTTCATTTTCTCACCGAAGCCATGACACTAACGCCATCTGAAACTTCTGGTACTGACAAGCAATTAGGTGGCACTGGAAGATACTTCAAAAGATATCCATCTTGAGGAAAATACCCTTTTCCAGCAAGCTTTCTTTTGGTTTCTAATGGGATTCTCTTAATAATTTCCATTACCTGAAAGATATTTTAAAATCAAAATATTAGCCAAAAGGCAAATAGCCAATTTCAATAGAAAGACATAATGAATTAAAATATTTAAAAAATAACACACAACAATTAGCCTGGAACCCTCAATTACAGATCATTGTAAAAGCAAATCAAAAACATTTCAGGAGTCGAACTCAAACCTCCAAAATATGCCAATGCCCATTTTTGTCGTGTAAAGAAGAAAATACAGTTTTGAAGATGTAAATATAACAAATTACAAATCATTCAATACGAAAATCCTTCAATATCAAAATATGATGTTTAGGGCAAAGGATAATGCTAAATCCTACAATTTCTCACTTTGAAGGATGTCTATTTCTATACTGTGGCATGATAATTTAAAGAAAAATCATCATGTACCAAAAGAATAAGAAAGAAAACATATGTAGGCCTAATACAATGTAGGAAGTAAATTAAATCGGCACATAAAAAATCATAAATTGACAAGTGTCAGCATATCTGCAAACAAGTAAAAGAAGAAGCTATTTGAACAGTATAGTAACAAAAGTAGAAACCCACCTCACAAGGAAGTAAGGCTCGAGTATGATCACCCTCATAGCGATAGCCATATTTTTCTAAAAAACCCCAAAAATCAGGATGCATCTTGGATTTGGATACCTTGAGTGCTAGATAACAAGCCCCATCACTTGTTTTAACATCCCTTATAGAAACTTCAGCAGCATTAACCTGTAAAGGTTAAGAATAAATACCAGGTTAAGAATAAATACCATGAACCTTCAAAATGAAATTTTACAAAGATAGCATATTTCAATAGTAAAACCACATTTATAATGCACACATATGTAAACCATGGAAAAAAGTGGAGAAAAGGAAAGACAAAACAATGCACATCAGAAATCAAAAAAGAAAAAGAAAACTCCAGTCTCCTTAAATGTCCTTTAGATGAGAACATACAGTTAGCAAAACATGCCAGGGTTCCACAGGTATCATGAGTTCATAACAAAGATCATAAAATTCTAGCAATAACAAAAAAATCTATACAAACTTTAATATTAGAAAAATATATATGTAAACACGTATATGGAAGAATCAGTAGGAAACAATACAAGAAAATATTTCAGGGTTGTAAATCCATATACCTATTAAGAAATCATATTGCATGATTTGTTCATACTAACCTCACAACAAGGAGATACTAATCTCTGCACAAAGCCACTGCCTGATGCTGAAGGCTGAAAGATTGTGAACCAGTTAGATCAAGCACACAAAAATGGCAATAGACAAAGTTTGTATCCTTGTATTAAATCTAGCAAATAAAATGAGTGGTGGATAGATTACAAAAAACATGAAGACATGAAAATTAACAAATCTCATTCAGGAGCACTTATCTTCAAAATAAAAGATCAATAACAAGAAAAAAAAACAACATAAATATTTAACTAATTTAAATGTTTACCTTTCTGGGAAACTGATACAATTTAAAAATGCAGAGTAAATGAATAATCGAATGGAATATATTTGATTATTTAATATTATTAAACAAGAAATCAGAAGGATACAATTATCCCACTGCCCAGAGCAAAGTTCTCCACACTCAAATACACCAGAAATCCCTATTTATTCCTTCCCTCAATTACTCATCAATTTCTGCTACATCCAATTATTCTAGTTTTCAAGCTTGTCCTTCCCCTTACAGCAACAGTTCTACCTCCTTCTATGTTTGTGGTGGTGCTCGACACTTTCGTGGTCATGGCCATAGCCGTGGTGGTCACTTTGCTAATTTCCAATGCCAAATTTACCTCAAATATGGTCACACCACTAACATCTGCCATTTCATATTGATCCCTCTTTTCAACCACAAGAATCCTCTATGATCCAGCCACCAATCAACCTTTACACCTTCTTCCCCCATCCACCACTCCTTTGTCTTAAGCAGCTACTATCCTGCCCCTCCTCGGTCTACCTCCACTCTTCCTAATGCCATGCTTGCTTTTTCCTCCACTTGTGAGAACACCACTTCCTAGATCCCTGATTTTGGAGCCTCCCAAAATATTCAATAGTTTCAACATTTTGGTGGTCCTAATCAAATTTATGTTGGCAATGGTGAAGGTTTGTATGTCCTTGCATCTGGTTCCACTTCTCTTCATCATCATTTATTCCTTGTTCCATCTATCACCAATAATCTCCTTAGTATTCGTCAATTTGCTCTTGATAGTGATGTTTATTTTGAATTTTTCCTCACTATTGTACTGTCAAATCATTGGACAACCATGAAATCCTTCTCCAAGGTGTTGTTGGTGCTAATGGCTTATATTCCTTCCCCAATCTTCAAATTCACAATTGTTCTGCTCCTCTATCATCCCGTCTTTCTACCACTTTGTCCACCAACACTCCTGTTGTTGTGTCTTTCGCAACTGCTCCATCTCCCTCAAAGTCTCTCACGTTATGGCATTCTAGATTAGGCTATCCTAATGACATGTATTAAAACTTGTAATGACTCAACACAATGTTCCTTTTCATAATAAAAATTTGGACTTTTGTTCATCTTGTTGTGTTGGCAAGTCTCATCGTTTACCTTCTTCCACTAACTATTGTTTACACACAACCACTTCAATTAACTTTTAGTGACCTATGAGGACCATCCCATGTCCCATCTACTGTTGGGCACCTGTACTATATCTTCTTTGTCAAAGCTTTTTCTTGGGTTTACATGGCTTTACCCTCTTAAATTAAAATCTGAAGCCTACTCTATTTTTCAAAACATTAAATCTCATGTTGAACTTTAGTTTGATACTAAAATAAAAATTATTCAAACTGACAGGAGTGGTGAGTTTAGATCTTTTAAATCCTTCCTTGCCACTCATGGCATCACCTATCGTCTCATTTGTCCCCACAGAGTCTAGTAAAAGCTCTCTAAAATATATTCTCCTCTATTTTTATTTTTCTCAACTCATAAAGAAAGATGGAAAATAAAAATAAAATAAAATAAACTCTCAAAGACAAATGGCCTGTTTATAGATATTTACATATAGGTAAAAAAGATTAAAAGCAAATCATATCATTAAAACCACTACTACACCCTTTATTACTGGCTAATTCATACAAGCTAGATAGACATACAAAAAGATGAAGAATGCCACTCTTATCCTCTTTGTCAACAATACCTTGCTTTTCCTCATTTTCAAGCAGTTTAAACAGACAAGGCTCAGCATCCGTTTCAACTCACTAATATGACTAGGATGATATATTGGAGTTGGTAGCTCAATATATCCAAAGTGGCCTGAAAAGTAACATCGAATTTCTTAACTTAAATTTCATCTTTTTACCATTTAAAAAGGCAGTACGGAAAAAGAGCAAACCTTCACATTTTCCTGCTTCAGAAGTACCACAAGATTCACATCTGCCAAATTCAAGGGGTAGACCAAGGAAGGGATTTGACAGCTGACTAGCATGACTAATTGAAGAGTCACTGATCGATGCTGTACACTACCAAGGCAAAAGCAAACCATTTACCACCAAAGAGATCAAAACTAATCAAATACTGAATAGGCCATAACCCTTTTATAGTAAAAAAAATTGATTCAATTTTCCAAAAAGAACTTTTTATTTATAACAGTGATAAAGATCAGAACTTTTGAAAAAGCATGTGTATGTAAGCTAACGTCAAATATTTTAATCCATAAATAAAAGCAGGCCATATATCTGTAAATACATGAATAAATTTCAGGAAATGTCAATAACAAAAATAATTTTTCAAATAAGGACCTTAAGGGAACCCATCATAGAACACTAAGGAAATCTAGCAAGAATTTCCTAAATCCCAAGCTAGCCATCATTCATCCTCGACATTGCCATTGACAGTAACAACATTGTCCACACTTAATACAAGATTATCTCGTATGAATTAATTAATAAAGAGATGCTAACTGAAGGCCACAAAGACCTCAACTGAAAAATTGAATGTGTTTTGAGCTTACAATTTCCTTGCGTGTAGCCATACCAAATTTGACTCCAATAACCACCCCATCTAAAAGACTTGAGGGAGGATTATCTTCCATTACTTTTGCAGTCAATTACAGTGCCTGATGATAGAAACCTCAAAGTTACAGTCATTACTTGTAAACCATAGAAATCTTTAACAGAATTACAGAGGAAGAGTAATTAAAACAATCAACGAAATAGAAAAGTATCAGAAAGATAACCCAACATAACTTCAATATAGCTTGTGTTCCCTTTACTATAGCATGTGTTCCCTTTACAACCGCTCTCCTGAATCTAGGTCATAAAACAGGTCTGTGGAGACCGCACAGAATGAAAACATCAGGCATGTCAATAACAACTGACCACCATGAATGTCCTAAGGGATTACAAGATATCACAATTTTCTTAGAAAAATTAGATATTTGAAATAACAACTTGTCGATCAACCTATCAAAGATATGATGTTTCCATTCTTCTATGGCCTTAAGAGTACTCCCATGTTAATTACGACAAAGCCAATCCTCAACCAATTCCCGACAAAGCACATGTAAAAAACAGATAGATCACACTGAATTGTGCATCTAAACACCATTGCCTGTCTATAACCTATACTAGGAAGTGTTAAATACTAATAAGATATAAGTTAAAATTACAACCCCAACTACAGCAGTAATTATAATTAGTATCCCTACAAAAGTACTTATTTATCAGTGTGATATCATTAAATAGCTCTACATACATTTAAATCCGCTTCCACTTCACCAAAGAACACAGTTAGCTAAGAATTCCTCTTAATTCATGCAAGCATAAAATCATCTAACCCAACCAAAATCATCCATCTTAAAATATTAAAATATCTAACACAACTCCTTGAACGGGTTAAAAAAGCTCTCACCGGCCACCAATTCATTCTTATCCACTAATACAAAACTTTTTTCACCAAAAAAGAAAGTCTAATTAGCTTCCATTTCAACATGTAAGGTAGACTACAAAATTTAACAAAAAAAAAAGTGGTTCATGACAGATTCAAATTTCAGAAGAAAAAAAACCAATAAATAAATAAAACACAAAGAGAGAAGAACTAACAGAGCAAAAAATCTCCCTGAAAATGACGACCTTATAAGAAACAGAGTATGTAAATTAAAATCCAACCACAATCACATCACAAACAAGCACAAAAATAAAAGCAAAAATTAAAACAATACATAATCATGATCATTCTTCTTCAACCAGCTTTTTAACTCATACACGAAACAAACTCAGTTCAATTCGAGCGTCTGACACATCTAAACCCAAAACCTTAAACCCTAGAATATGCAAAGGCACCTCTAAACTAAAGAACAAAAGCAAATAACACAATCGAACTCGAGAACATCAAAGAGAACGAAATGCATTGCATGAAACGAAAATGCAGACCAACAGAAACACGAAATCGAAGTACCTCGTCGCTGTGAAAAACCGATCTCCAGGAAGAGAGGGTTTCAAAGGAGAAAGAATAAAGAAGGAAGGAAAAGAGAAAACTAAGAAATGAAATCAGAGAGAGTGAAAGTGAGACTGTGAAATGAAATAAGGCATGACACTAGTTTTAATTTTTCTCTTTCAAGAAATACTTCTTAGTTTAATTTATTTTATTTTATATTTATTAAATTTAATTGTTTTTTCAATTAATAATTGCATTTAATTTAAGTTGTGCGCAAATGCACCTAGAGAGTGTTTTTTTTTCCACTGGAGAGACAGAAAGTGTTGGAAGCTGAGTTTCGAGGTGTTGACATAAAATGACATATTTACCCATCTTTACTTATTTCTTCTTTTTTCAGTTGAATGTATATTTGTGGTATTATAGGAATTTCGTCCCTGTTGGTTAAAGTGAACAGACACACAAAATTTGCATGCGGACCATCACATCCACATCTCAGTCATTTCGTTCATAAATGAAACTAACCGTGGTTAACGGAAATTCACCAAAGTTTATTAAAGTGGTTAGTGACTCTGTTTTTTAACCAAACAAATGGGTTTAGGGTAGAATTTTACAAATAAGGTATGTTATAAAAGTGACACCACCATTTATAAGAATAAGTTAATTAGAAGTTTAATGGATTAGTTTACAAGTAAAATTGATTAATATAAGAATTTTTAATAAAATATTTTAAAATAGTCTATTTTATAATTATTTTAACTTAATTTTCTTTGGATATTAATTTTTATATTTTTTATTTTTATCTTTTATTTCTTGTTATTTATTTTAAATTATAGAAACAGTTAATTAGTATACTATTTTCAATATTTAATATTTGTTACGT